AATGTGTGTGTGTGTATATATATATATATATATATATATATATATATACACACACACACATTTGTGCCACTGCAAGTGTAGTGTGTAATGTGTGTGTGTGTGTCCACTTTGTGTTTGCTCTCAGGTTTGAGCTGCTGTTTGCTGAGCTGGAGATGAACAGAGAGGAGCTGGGCATCGCCAGCTACGGAGCTTCTGTGACCACTATGGAAGAGGTTTTCCTCAGGTGGGAGAAATATGACATGGGCGAATGTGAATGTGTCTTCTAATTCTATAGCACTCAAGGACTAACTCTCCTTATGCTGGGTACATTTTCAGTAAAGCAGCGATGCACAAGAGGAGGTATTGTAATTCAACAGAAAGTGGGTTCCATATACTACCTATATTTAAAAATGCCTGTTATAGTCGCTCTGCAGTCATAAGTCTATTTTGGAATTCATGGAGCTACAGCATTGAGCAAACCAGGGATATGGCTGATGTGTTCGCTTTCTCTTCTTTGCTCACACATCTCAGTCCCAGCTGCTTACTGAGCAATTATTTCTGCTTCCCCGTAGACTTGACATGTGTATCTGTGGCAACGAGCGGGAGAGCGCTTTCTCTGCAGACCGCTAACAATGCATGCTACTGTATTTCAACTATAGCATGCACACGGTGTATGTCATTGTAATTGTCTCACAGGCCTCATTATTTTCAAGTCACACTGATTGTCCATCAGTGTGTTCTGGCCTTAAACCCGACACACACCAAACATCAAACATGACACCAACATGACAAGAAAAGCTGCTGTTTGAACATTTGGTCATTTAGACTATTTTTGCAGCCAAGTAAAATTCCTTGCCAGTTAGAGAGTAACACTGCTATCATTAAGGTTTCTTTAAAATAATGAATCTCAAATTAAATACTGTATCATGATCTTTTATAATCTAAAACATCTGATGACCAAACATGTCAAGTTAGATTATGTTTTATCATTGTGACATACAAATACTACTACAAAAATCGTATTTTTTTTTTTTTTTAGTTTGTTCATAATTTTGCTCTTCCATTCTACAGGAAAGAGGTATAGAAAGGAAGGACCAATGGACTTGTAGGAAGATATATCTGGGCTCAGAAAGGCGCACAATATCTGGCGAGATGAGGGTGTAAGAAATGGCTTTATTTGCAAGCAGCACTGCAATTCTTCCCCTTAGTGAGCTGCTTAAAGAAAAGAGAAATAGATAGAGTGGATGGATTCAAGGACACAAAAGAGCTGCTGTCGATCTAGTTGTTGTTTTAATACATTTATAAGCATTTGACAAAAGTGAAGACTTCATATTTAAGGCACTGTTTGTTCCTCTTTTTCCTATTTTCAGTAAGTTGATAGATAAGCACATATTGATTTGTGTGTTCCAGGGTGGGAAAGCTGGTGGATTCTAGTTTGGACATCCAGGCAATCCAGCTGCCAGCCCTGCAGTACCAACATGAGAGACGCTCCCATGACTGGACCACAGATGACGCCAGCAGCATCAGCGGCATGACCGATGTCACCGACTTCACAGACAGCGGCACGCTCATTTCAGAGGACTGCTCCAGCATCAAGCTGAACACCGGGGTGAGACAAGGGGAAGCAAACTAATGCTTTTCATGTTTTCATTCATCATTCATTTTGCTCACATTTCAGTTGCTCTTCTCCTCTCCCATCAGGCCAGACTACACCTGCAACAGTTCTATGCCATGTTCCTGAAGAGGGCGCTGTACAGCTGGAGGAACTGGAAGGTGATGGTGGCTCAGTTCCTCGTCCCTTTGGTCTTCACCGTTTTGGCCTTAGTTGTGGCACGCTCCTTTCCCAATCATGACGACGCTCCTCAACTGAGGCTGGCACTCAGACGCTATGGTTCCACCAGGGTGCCCGTGGCTCTGCAGCCTGGGGTGGGTCCGCTGGCTGCTGCCCTGGCAAACACGTATAGTTCCCAGCTCTCTGCCCAGCTTGGCCAGCTCATCAACATCACGGGTAAGCATCGCGATAGAGAGACAGGGGGGGGCTTGGCTTTACTGGTTAGCTGAGTATTTACTGACCACATGCCCTTTTTTTCCCCGCTCCCCGTCAGATTTCACTGATTACATCCTGACCCAGGCCGAGGAGGAAGGCGGCAGCTTTAACGAGCGCTGTGTGGTGGGTGCTGCTTTCCGTGGCAGCAGCCATCGATATGCAGAAGCAACAGCCTACTTCAACAACGAGGGCTACCACACACCCGCCACCGCCCTCATGATGGTGGACAATGCTCTGTTCAAACTGCTAGCAGGGCTGAATGCTTCCATCCAGACGGGGAATTACCCAATGCCACGCAACCTGTCTGAGAATGCCCAGAGCCAGCTCAGAGAGTGAGTGAAGGGAAAGGGAGACAAGTTCTATTATGATTTTTTTTAATTTTTTTTTTTTTTTGGCCAGTTTTCCAGCATTCATGCTGCATGACAAGAAAAGTACCCCTACGTGAATGTCAGTCAATTCTGTTGCACTTAACTGGTATATATTTCTCACCACTTATCTGAGGTTGAATGAATTGAAAATCTCTCAGGGGAAAAAAAAATAACTCAAAAGGGATTTTGATATAGATTCAAACCCCAGGCCTTTTTGTGTAGCAATCATATTGACAAGAAAGAGAAATTAGTATTGATTTTAAATTATACATCAACAGGAATGTTCTTTTTCGCTATTTCTTTGCCTCTCCTTTGCACCATTTCTCTTCAATTTCTTCCTGTCATGAAACCCCTTTTCACCTCCTCCTCTCATTTCTCTCTCTTTTCCTCCATCTGCAGGGGAAAGACGGGTTTCATCATCGCTATAAACCTGATGTATGGTATGGCCTCCCTGTCCAGCACATTTGCCCTTCTGCTCGTAACCGAGTCCTCTATCAAGTCCAAGCATGTGCAGAAGGTCAGCGGTGTCTACCTGTCAAACTTCTGGTTCTCTGCGCTGCTGTGGGACCTGATCAACTTCCTGCTGCCCTGTCTCCTCATGCTGGTCAGTGTGACATCCGATTACTTGTTGTAATAAAGGTAGAGACACTGACAAGCTAGTGTAAACAGTTGTCTGGTCGGAGAGTACAGCATGCATAAAATGGATGTATTGTACAGTCTCTTGACTTTACTTGTTTCCTGCTCTCAGGTGGTGTTTCAGGCATTCGGAGTCAAGGCTTTTATAGACAACAACCACCTGGTAGATGTGTTGCTATTACTGCTGCTGTATGGCTGGGCTGTTGTGCCTCTTATGTACCTGCTCAGCTTCCTCTTCTCCACTGCCGCTTCTGCCTACACACGCCTTACCATCTTCAACGTGATCTCTGGCACGGCCACCTTTCTGGCTGTCACCATCATGGCCATCCCAGGTGAGGGGGAGACATAGGCTTCTTGTTTTATGCTCCGGCCAACATGTTATGTGCTAGAGTTAAGGATTTGAAACGTGTTTTGGGCTGAATACATCTTGAGTGTGTGGATGGCGCAAAGGGGAAAAAAGCACTTGCCCACTTGTGTCCCTCATTGAATACAAATCTGTAGTATTTGTGGTGGGAAGCCAATGAGGGATCATGTTCTAGCAACTCCTACTGGTTGATTGAGATGCCTGGGTGGAGAGGAGTGGGCTTTTGAAATACTAGTGAGGAGGCTATTGGCTGTCCAAAGACTCCGCAGGTCAACGTGGGACTACAAGAGGACAATGGGAGGGAAATGTACACAATAAAGAAAGAAATGTTTCGTTGTCATTCTTGTTTCTCGTCTCCAGAGTTGCACCTGCAGGACATGTCGCACTTACTGGATAAGATATTCCTGATCTTTCCAAACTATTGCCTGGGCATGTCCTTCAGCCAGTTCTACAAGAACTACGAATTCATCTCGTTTTGCACCCCCAGTAGATTCAGCAAAGAGATGTGCGAATTTTTAAGTAAGTACAACCTAAATGCAGCCTTAGAGAATGAAGAGGTCTTTGTTTTTTTTACCAATAGGTGGTACAGTGTGTGTTTTTACTTGTAAAGGTATGCAGTCTACTACCTGATTTTACCATTTAATATGTGATGTATGTTATTGGAGATATAATTATGATGAGTCGTAATGTGGGTGTCAGTATTGCACACATATAGGTTTACCTTTGTAGTCGACAATGATTATAAAAATAATGATGTATCCTATATATAGAATTTCTTTCAACAAAGAACACCGAGCTCAAGCAGAAATGGAACGGATTGACTTAAAAGTTTATTTTCACTTCACACATTCAAAAGTTTGATTGTTCGCTACAAGTTGAGTGTAGTTTGCAGTAAACAAGGTCCTCTTGTGATGAGGACAGCTCAACAGATACTTCCTGAAATGGAAAGTAAAGAGAAAAAAAGAAGGGGCACAAATGCACCAGACTCCATTTAACTAAAGACTTTTTTTAGGCTGCAAATTTTGTATTTTGTAGTTTTGTTTAAATCACCAAATTCAACATATATGAAATATTCAGATAAACCCCGATAGATGCTGCTGTTGTATGCTCTTAATTTACTTGACATAACTCTGTATTCTTCTGCTTCTAGACATCACGTACCAGAGTAACTACTTCTCGATGTCGGCGCCTGGTGTGGGACGCTACGTTGTGGCCTTCTCACTGCAGGGCGTAGTCTACATTATTCTGCTGTTTGTCATCGAGCTGCAGTGTGTCCGCACTCTCCGGCAACTCCTCGCCTCCCTGTGCAGAAGACGCAAACAGGTAGATGGATTGTGTGGAGCGGCGTCGGTGTTTTTGTTTTTGGTTTGGTAGAGTGGAAACTTTCCAGTTTCATCCGAAATTTCCCAGCAACCACAGCTTGCGCTGCGCAGCAAGGTCTACAATTTTCAAAGTGTGGTTAGATGTATTCAAATTGGAGCCTGAAAAAGAGAAGTCAATGAAGACGAATAATAATAGTTAGTTGCAGGTCTAAATGCCTTTTAATAAAGAGAGTTAGAGTCAAAGGTTGTAGTTACAGTTTCTGCAGGCTCTTTCTGTCATGACCTTAAACTATGTTTGACTAATCGTGTACCTATTACAGGCTACTCCTTTAGGCTACTATGAAATAGTACTATATGTATTATAGTAATATAATACTATTACACATTTATATGTATTATAGTAAGACATGTATGTCTTCAGGCAGAAATAGTATAAACAACATCCCCCGGAGTCCCTTTTTATTGTGATGTGGTGTTTGATATTTTTATGTGTGTGTTAGTTACCTCTAATAGAGGATGCAGCACTGCTTCCGGAGGACAGGGATGTGGCTGAAGAGAGGAAGAGGGTCCTGGAGTGCCAGCCAATAGTAGAGTCTATGGTGGGAAGCCCTCTCATACTGCAGGAGCTCAGCAAGGTACGAAGCACAGGAAAGACTTGTCCTCGTCTCAATGAGACGGACTGCCTCAGTGTTGAAAGACGTGTGTGGCTCCAGAGCCGTTTGTCTCAGTGAGATATGACATGGTGGTACAGACCCGCTGTTATCTCTCCTTCTCAGGTGTACAGCAGCGGGGAGAGTCTTCTGGCTGTGGACAGGCTGTCTCTCGCTGTAGGGAAAGGAGAGTGCTTCGGCCTCCTGGGCTTCAATGGAGCAGGCAAGACCACAACCTTTAAGATGCTGACATGCGATGAGAGCGTTACCTCCGGGGACGCCTACATTGATGGATACAGCATCTTGAGGGACATTAAAAAGGTAAGAGCAGAGGGGGATGGAAGGAAAGGACATTTTTATAAAAAAAAACAAAAAACAAAAGGCCAGATTTGAAAGAAAACATTCATCTCTGGACTGCAGGTGCAGCAGCGCATTGGTTACTGCCCACAGTTTGACGCCGTGTTGGACCACATGACGGGAAGAGAAACTCTGAGTATGTATGCCAGACTCAGAGGAATACCAGAGAAGTATGTGTCTGGCTGTGTGGAGAATGTCCTGAGGTCGCTGCTGCTGGAGCCTCATGCTGATAAACTGGTCCGCAGCTACAGGTAGGTAGACTGCTCTGAGCCTTCCCTTTTTTTTCCTGTTTTGGGCCACGGGATTTACATCTTCGCCTGAATATTGCTCCATTTTTTTTTTTTTTTAGAGCAAGTGCATGTAAATAATATGTCCTCATCAATATATGCAGCGGCGGTAACAAGCGGAAGCTGAGTGCAGGCATGGCTCTGATTGGTGGGCCTCCGGTCATCTTCCTGGATGAGCCTTCGACCGGGATGGACCCAGTGGCCAGGAGACTGCTGTGGGACGCTGTTACACGCACACGGGAGTCTGGAAAGGCCATAATCATCACTTCTCATAGGTGAGCTTTATAGTTTGTATTGGATATCAGCAGTGGTACATTTACTCAAGTACTGTACATTTTTGAGGTAGTGGTCCTTAGACAATAATGATAATCCAGTTATATAATATATGATAATATGACGCTCTTACTGGCAAGTTTCCTTTGATACTTTAAGTATGTTTTGCAACCAAAACTTCTGTCATAATTAGAATATTATACTTATATTTGTAATTGGAGCTGGAGCCCGAGCAGTCACTAAATGAAATGCACTGACAAAAAAAAGAAAATGCAGATTTGGCGACTTTCTCGCTAGATTTAGTGACTTTTGGAGCTAGTGCTGCTCGCTGCTTTCATTGGAAAAGAGCTGGCAACACTGGGCCGGATTTTTCGGTTCGATTTCACAAGATTACCGATTTGGTGCTACCAATGTTACTTACTCTAAGTAAAAGATCTGAATACATCTTAAAATCAATTTTGTTCTACATCTTGATGCATGAAAGGGAGACGACGTGTGGGTGTTTACAACTTGTACCGTGTCTCCCTGATATGTTCCCGCACCAGTATGGAGGAGTGTGAGGCCCTGTGTACCCGGCTGGCAGTGATGGTCAACGGTCAGTTCAAGTGCCTCGGGAGTCCCCAACACCTGAAGAGCAAGTTTGGCAGTGGCTACACCCTGCTGGCGAAAGTACATATAGAGGCTGAGCTGGAGGATAGTGACCTGCAGCTTTTTAAAGACTTCATCGAAAGTACCTTCCCAGGTCAGAGGCATACAGTTAACATTTACAATTACTTTTTTTTATTTAAGTGTTTACAGTAACTATACAAAAATAACCAAGAACATAACTGTAATTATGTTCTTAACCACAGAACAAAGTGTATTATTGTAGTTGCATTACCGGTTATCAGTCTACATTTGAACGCTTTTAATTTTCTCCCACCACAGGAAGTCAACTAAAGGATGAGCACCAGGGAATGGTGCACTATCATTTGACTGACAAAACACTTACCTGGGCCCAGGTAATGCAGTAGTATCTCTGCACTTGTGCTGTGTTAGGGCTCCCTCTAGAGCACAGAATGGTACACAGTAATGCTTAAACATGCTTAGCTGTGTGCACAGTGATGGTTATAGTTGCATGGTCATGGTATACACTTTAAACAACACTGAAAAGCGTGCTTTGAAAAAAGAATAGAGAATGTAAAAAATATGTAAGTAGCTGTGTGCACACAGCAGAAATAACTTGTGTTTATTTCTATTTTCAATGTTCTAAAGTTGCAGACTGTAGCATTAAATTGTGATGTTGCCACAACGTCTTATATAAAACCGGAGATGCATTTGTATCACACTATTCTATGTTTTCTGCCTTCCTATTCTCCACTACCTTCCAGGTGTTTGGCACTTTGGAGGCAGCCAAAGAGAAATACCAGATTGAGGACTATTGCGTGAGCCAGATATCACTGGAGCAGGTGTTCCTCAGCTTTGCTCAGTTCCAGCACTGCACTGAGAGTGGTCGGAAGTAAGTGGAGCGAGGAGTCTGTCCATGCATTGTTCATTTTCTACAGTGCTTTGTGTGTGTGTGTGTGGAGGACCTGTGTACACGGACCTGTTACACAGCAGGTGTGTACACAGGCCGGGGCGGGTTTTATCTCCAGCTCCATTTTGACATTGACCACCAGAACACACACACTCACACTGGGCCAGTTGCATCAACTTCAGCATTTCTACTACTATATCACGTCGGTGTGTCTTTGTTGGGTCATTCATGATGTTGCTGTTGTTGCTGTGTGACGAAGGAAGTAGGATAATTGGGATTATGACGCGTGTGGGATCAGGATTATTCCAATTAATGAACTCTTGAGTACTGCACCTTTCCAGTGACGTTCAAGAAAAGGACACCACTCATCAGATACTACAACTACTCTGAAATGTGTGTGACTGGGTTTATTTCTGCGCACTTGTGTGCACAGCTTGTCTTTGTTATTTATGATTTTATTTTATTGATTGTTTCCAAGAATTTGTGCTTTTTTCTGTGATAATCACAAGAGAATGAACCACTCCAATCATTGCACACCTTTGCGCCTTATCTAACTAACGAGGGTTCTTGTTTCTTTATATTGCCCTATACAAAAACGCCTGGTAATCATTATGAGCCTCTTAATGTTGTTGTTGTCAGATGTAAATAATGTGACGTGTTCATGGTACTAAGAAAACACGCAGAGCATTTACTCATTTAAAGACTGTTTTGGGCATGTTAATGAATGCTAATGTATACCATATGATTTACAGAGTGCATGATACTGGAGGAGCAGAGAGCTGAAAACAATAACTAGAAGACCATTAATCCTCAGAGTACATTTAGTCCGGTCTTAGTACATTTAATACGCCTCCATTGTCCAGGTCTTGTGAACCAAAGTTTCGGTTTTCCTGCCAAACAAGTTACAGCGACAGCGTGTTACCATGTGGATATCCAGCCATCACAGTTTACATAGAAACAAAATATAACAATTATGTGACACAGATGTTCACACGGGAGGTCGTAACTTGAAATGGTCGTATCTTATCAGACCGCATGTGATTGATCTGGGCCTAAAAATCGCAAAACTGCAATAAGCTTTGAGGTGTTTTTGTACATTTCTTTTCATTTTTCTTGCTATGCATTTCACACTGTGTGTGTGTGTGTGTGTGTGTGTGTGTGTGTGTGTGTGTGTGTGTGTGTGTGTGTGTGGTGCAGAGAGTATGGAAACACATGATTCCTAATTTCATCCAGACTGTAGTAAAACAGTGCTATAATAGTCCTTAAATATTATAACTAAGAAATTGTTATTGCGCAGTGGACAAACTACTGCTGTGTCATCTTTTAATGTAGAGCTGCTCCTTCAGGGAACTCCAGGAAATGCAATACAAAAACAAAACAGCTGTATATAGATAGTAAAAACTTGAAATAGATGCCTTGTTCTGAGGAAGAACGATCAGCTCAATGTTTGTTCCTCTTTCATGTGGATGCGCCGCTATGAAGCTCATTTCAGAGCGTGCCCAATTTATCACAGTCTCAAAGCCTTGATTGTACTTAAAAGACGTTGTTGGAGCATTTATGTATTCTGTAGGAATATTTAGAAAAACATTTGAAGTTTCAAAAAGAACCAAATGAGAAATGGATTCTCAGTTGCCTGCTTTTCATCCATGTTGGAGATCAAAAATGATATTCTCTGATGAATCGGTGATCACATTAACTTGAGGGTACAAATGACATTCCTACTCTTGGAAAATCCCTCTGACTTCACAGACGTGATATGAATGTATTTACTGTCTTACATGAAAGCAAAAAGCGCTCACAGTAATCAACTCTTTTAACAGCTTTGTATGATTTACAGCGCTTTCTTCATGTCACCAGGTGTGTGTGTGTGTGTGTGCGAAGTAAAGTAGAAACTGACATTCCAGAAAGGCACAGATATGTGGCTTATTGGTCTTTTTAAAGGATTTAACCTCCTAATTTAGACTTTTGTTACATTTGTTCATGTTTTTGCACAATTTGTTTTCTCATTACATGTATGACTTGAATCAATTGCAATGTTATATACGTAAAAATGTAAAGGTTTGCTCTGCTGATATTGAAGGTTTGAGTTATATTGAAATGCAGTGTATCGTGTTTAACAAAGGGAATTTACATCATTGTAACTGTGTACTGTACATGTACCATGAAACTGACCAACTGTATATGTGTCGCTATTCTTTTTAAATTAAATAATGCTCTATGCAAATGGTAGCAAATACCAGTTCCTGGTTGTGGTGGAAAAAAACGATTTAATAGTACCGAGTGAGTCCTATGATACTAAAGAAGGGAAGAGAAGGTTCAGTCGTCATACAGAGTGCACTGCAGTCTGAAGGAGGACGAACCCAGGGTGCAGGTTGTGCACGACTTACAAAGGACCTGAGCACAGGGTGGGGGTAGGATGAGTCGTCACTAAGACATCTGGACTACAGTCGACCATTCTGTGGTACTGAATGGTCGACTGTCTGCATTAAAAAAATGAATACCTTTTACCCTTCAAAGGCATCACTTTTGGCCTTTGAGAGGCTACCTTAATTGAAAAGAAATACAAAAATCTAAGACGGAGTACTACGATGCATTTATAGAGTTAATCTTTTATATTACAAGTGAATGGGTATAAGTATGCTGCACAGTACCTCCCTGGGTCTGGAGAGTGACGCACACCTTTACATTTACAACAATGCCGGTCGGAGTGATAAGCATAGTCTGTGGTCTCCACTGCTGTTGTACAGTCTGATGGGTATTGAGATGCAGAGCCATCCATTGCCATCGACATGTTGGGTCAGGGAGAGCTGGGGGTTTGGGGGCTGTCTTTTTGAAGAGACCCTGAACAGAAAACAATCTCTCTCGTCGGTGTGTTTCTGGCCTGGTTTTACAGGATCCTGTCCCCACTTCTGTAGGCCTCCTCTTTAGCCCGACGAAGCTGCCTGAGTCTTGCAGTAAACCAGGGTTTATTGTTGTTACGATGCAGGGGGACTTGACCCCTGACTTCTGTCAGGAATTTTTAACCTACTATACAGGTCTTCACATACATTTTACCCTACTATTAAATGTACCTGTAATCTGAGATGTTGTGATGGTGACATTCTGTTCTTTGAAAAAGGTCAACCTGCAAAGAGGTACTG